TGGACGGATTGTTATGTCTGCTTGGCATTTCATTGCGCTTCGGTACAAAAGAATTTTCTATGAGTTAAAATAACAAAGAAAAATCAAACGACATTAGTCTGAATTAGTTACCACTGTATATGTTTGTGCTGTCTACATGTATTTTGACATCTTTTATCTTAGACAAACTTCCTTTGACTTAAAACGCACAAACATTTCGAGCCGATGTCGACACATCGTGGTCGTCTCCTCAAAAAAGTCGTCATGTTCTGCAAGAACGTCGTCAATAATCTAAAATTATAAAATTGTCCTCAATTTGGTAATGGTAATAGCTTAGTTGTTGATAAATGTAAACAAATATTGCTAACTATAACTATAATAATCACCTCTTGCCTTCGTCTCTTCTCAAATGCAGTTCTAAAATTTGTTGGCTGCTTCCTTTTAGATGCTACACTTGTGGGTTCCACAGGTATTCAAAATCGTGGGTACAGCATCCTTCTTAAGGCGAAGCCGTCCTGCTATCCATCCTACTGATTGCATCGCTTCAAAATTTTGCACGAAGCACGAACTCTCGAAATGTTGCGAGCACAATTTTGAGCTCATTGTTAACTTCAATTTTTGCGTCGGATTTTTCAATCCAAATATCTCGCATGCGCTTGTTTTCGGGAAACGAAAAACCTTTGATGCGTTTGGTGGTTCTTAGAAGAACCGTTTTGACAATTAAATGCGGCACAATAAACTAAATTTTCAATGCTAAATTGTCGTGTTGTTAAGAAGTTACCAATATATTTTGAACGAAGCGCGCAATTGACCGCGTTTAGCGAATGTCAACTATTACGTCACAACGACCTTTTTTCAATCGGTAGCCGTCGTTAGCTCGTCGGGCATTTTCAATGCGTTATCAGTAAAACATCAACTTTAAACCACCATATCTTCTAAAATATTTATCCTTTGAGTCTCAAACTTTGGTTAACTATTAGTTGGAGCTGTACCTTTATGTAAAGTACAAAAATAACAATCCGAACTTTATGTTGCATGTGTGTCCTTTAAAGTCATGGCTTTTTAACGTGCCAAAAAACAGCAGTTTGATAAGCATCAAGAGAAATTAACTTTTCTTGTTGAAAATTAGTTGTCAATTGTGCTGTCTTGAACATGTCAATTTTCCATAGCCAATAAGAGTTTTGCAAACTCTCAATGTAAGATATAATAGTTGTTACAAAAGACTCTCTGTGACCTCGAACTGAAAAGAATGATGAATTGTTGTCTTTGCTTTTCCATAACAGAGGGAAGTTAAAGCATGCTGCATGAAACCATTTAAATGTTCAGGGAGATTATCATTATCAGGACCAACAAGTTGCAAAACATTTCTATGTGGCAAATACAACAAAATATATTGAAAGAAAAATTCTTTGTTGAACACAGAAAGCATATTCACACCAACAAGAGTTGCACCATCTTTGTACCGTTTTGGAGTATTACAATTAGTGTTGAAATTCCTGAGCCAATCAATTAAAGACATGGCATTTAATTCTTGAGGTCGTTTCCAATATTTCAAAACTACTTTGTTTTCATAAACTGTACTAGTATTGGGCAAGTAGAATCGCTTAGTTCTGTTGTTTGTCCACGCTGTTTTTTTGGAGTAAAGATAAAAGTACATATCTGACAGCTACCTGTCTCCCATTAATGTGATACGAATATAATCCATCAACTGTATTGGCATCATGACACTTTGTCACATATGATGTGACATATTTCAAAAGCATTGCTACATCGTCAGTTGTTTGATAGTCAACTCGACATTTAAGCGATGGTAAAAGAGTATCTATATAAGCTCTTAAATTTAGTGCAAATGCATCTGCTGGATGTTTTAAATGGTGAACATGTTTTCCACTTTCAAAGGAGAAATAAGTATTTTGTGCTTGCAAGTTTAGGCAGTTCGATATCTTATCTGATGGTTGCAACTTATAAACATAATAGGCCAATTCCGGATTTTCAAATGGAATATCAGCACGAATATGTTGATGTTGAAACTTTCTTATATCTTTAAGCCAAACTAACATGTGCAAGTGCAAGGTACCTTGTTTTTGAAATTCGAAACGATAGAAATAACTTTTCAAATTCGTTGATGTAGCAAGATTGTTGTAATTAAAAATGTGATTATGCCATCTCTTGCTGTTGCTTCCACATAAATACCCTCTAACTATTTGCTCTACTGTGTGAGCAATACTTATAGTTTCAAATGCAGGTAACTGTTTTGCACTCATTCCTGTATTTCTACGAATTTGTGTTACACAATCTGGGAATGGAAATGACCACTCAAATGGACTTATAGTTAAAAAAATATCTGGCAAACCAAACTGAGGTACAGCATCTAATAAATATCGATGTTGCCATTGCCAGTATGTTGGTGAAAAAGGTTTACAATCAAGTGCTCTTGCAGGTGAGCAACTGGAAACACGTGTAGTATTTATTGCACCACTAACAACTTTATACATACTGCGATCATATTGCCATTGAAGAAGTTCAAAATTTAGTCCATAATCTAAAATTGGTGAAAACAACTTGCAGCAAAACGATTTTTTCATACTTAGTCGACTGCATTCACCACTAATGATACTTTCACACCAGGAAGAAAAAGGGTAAAGATTTGGCCACAATGCACACTCAATACCTGAAGTACTTATGAAGTCAAAAGTAATGATATTATCATTGGCTTGCACAAGTTGTTCTCTCAAATTTACAAAATGGGAGTAATGGGAATTCTCTGCAGTTATTAAATTTAGGCTTGCATATGCATCTTTGCATATCACCATCATTGAAATCAGTTGTTTTATCTTTTGCATAACTGAATTTGGAGAGAGTGTTAATTTTATTATCCCAGTTTTTACTCTATATCCATGTTGCTTCCTTTTGTACACGCCACAATCAAGGTCAAAGGGCCTTAAAGTAATGACATTTTGTATTGAAGGTTTTGAGTACAATAGGAGTTTGGTTTATTTGTGGGACAATATCTCTTGTATGATAATGACATTTAGTTCTTTCACTCACTTTTTTTTTTTTATTTTCTGAAGTTGTGGCATTTGCACAAACACTATTGACTTACATACACTACAGGTATAAAAACTACAGTGTTTAGCCCAGTTCTCAATGGAAAAGCTGTATCTAAAACAACATTACATATATTACTGTTTTACTTGGAAATGACGAGGCGATCTTCAAAATATTTTCCCTCTCGTTGCATCTGTATTGTTTGATAATAAATCTGAATGGTAGTTTAATTTTAAGATCTCGATTGGCATTAAAGGTTATATTGATACCTGTCTGGTTTATCGATTATTTAACCTATTGATTTATTCGTTACAAATGCTTTATGTGTCACTGGATTTAGCTAGTTTTTTTTATATAGCTTTAATCAATTTTAACACAAAATATGGCAATGCAAGAACAGTTCGAGAGAAATATAAAATAATGAGAATAACCACTAACGAAATGTACAATAATACCTTTCAAATGAGTTGTTTGCCTAATGTTACTTGATGGAAACAAAAAATCACGTTTAACTAAAAGTGGACAAAAAAATTGTATCACAAAATATAATTCAACAGTAAAAATTAATAATATAAAAATGCAAGATAATAATTTCCACTTTAAAATTGATAGAGAAGTAAAAGGTAATATAGGGCAGAACACAAACAACAATGAAGATAAAATAAAACATTAAATTGGAAAACTTAAAAGGCATAGACTCTCAAAGTTGTAAAATGTTAAAACATTTATAATATTTATCATAAAAAACAGTAAAATCCCGTTTAACTAAAAGTGGACACAAAAAGTGTATCACAAAATAAAATTCAACAGTAAAATTCAATGATATAAAAATGCAAGATAATAATTTCCACTTTAAAATTTTTAGAGAAGTAAGAGGTAATATAGGGCAGAACACAAAGAACAATGAAGATAAAATAAAAACATTAAAGACGGAAAACTTAAAGAAACGCAAACTCTCAAAGTTGTAAAATGTTAAAAACCCTTTATATGTTGTTATCATAAAAAACAGTAAAATAATAAACCAATATTTGCAATTTATTCCAAAAAACACTAGCAAGAACAATTGATTTTCTTTATAAAATATTTTTAGAAAAAATTATTTCGATTGCTAAATTACATATGAATTTTGAACGTTACGAAAGGCAGAACTTCAATTTACTTCAACAAGATGGCTGCCAAGAAGAACGTGACATGTGACTTCATTATTAATAGGAGGTTATTAACAATATTGACCAATAGGAATATAGTACCTTCTTGTAGTATAATACATATTTGAGTACAGAATGCCTAAATTCATCTAAATTTTCTATTTAAATTTGCTAAAAATTGCAAATAGTGCATATATGTTGTACCTACTTAATAAAGTTTCATATTTGCAAAGTTTACTCATCAAAATTACAATATATACAATAGAATTACATGTAACTGTAGAACAAATGGTACCATTACATTATTGCTTTCCTATGATGTGCAATTTGTATAAAATATATTTGATTAACACTATTTAACAAAGCATTTAAATTTCATATTTTTGCTAGGCAGTCTTGAAAATATTAAACATACTTTTCTTATATGACTTTTCATTGGTCAATTTCAAACAACATACCATTACAGTGATCTGTCTAAGGGCTTTGTTTTGATATGTGAATTATGAGAAAACTTGTAATAAGTCTTTTACAAAAATTGTTACATTTTCACATTTCTTTATATTATGCTTAAAATACAAGTTAAACTAGCACATATCTCTTTATGATTACAATCAATTTGAACACAAATGAATTTTTAAATTACATTGATTAGGTTATGAGCTTTCTTTTGATATCTTAATTGTATAAAATATCTTTAAAAAACACCATTGAAAAAATTATTTACATTGTTAGATTTCTGTATATCATGCGCGAAAAATACAAGTTAAACTACTTCATATCTCTTTATAATTACAATCAATTTCAGCACAACTGGTACCATTACATAGAGGACATGGGCTTTTCATATAATATGTCGTTTTAAACTTTAAATAAAAAGTTTTAATTTTTGTAATATAATCTTATAATAAAATATGGAAATTTAACGTATACGATCTAAAATAGCCATGATTTCAATTTTTGCAAGGTATCATGTTTTGCTAAGCTGTATAACATGTGAAAAATTCAGCGACATACGAAGCTTCATTAATGAAATAAAATTTTCAATTTAAAGATTTTTTTGTAATATAATTTATAGTAAATTTCAAAAATTCAAACGTTCAATTTCTGTTATTTTCAAAAACAATTTAAAAAATCAGAAATTAGTTTCTAGATATTTCATAAGATCTTTCATATTCTGTAATAAACCAGCCACTTATATATGCCCAGAAGTTTACCATTCTTTTATAGCAATATAATGCTATATAATGTTATAAAGCTAAAGCTGATATCTATATGCGATTTTATGAATAGTCATAATAGAAAACCTTAGTTACGTCAACCCTAACGATAAGTAATAACTGGCTTGTAACAGCCAAGCGTTCGTAGCGACGTTGCTTTTGTTCCTTCGATGTCGGCTCTTCCTATCATTGCGAAGCAGAATTTACTTAAACGTCGGTTTGTTCACCCGCCAATAGGGAACGTGACCTGGGTTTAGACGTCGTGAGACAGGTTAGTTTTACTGTTGAGTATTTGTTGCAATAGTAATTCTGCTCAGTACGGAAGACAAGGTTTGAACAATTGGCTCATGCACTTGCCTGAAAGACAATGGTGCAGAAGTTACCATCTGTTGGATTATGATTGAACGCCTCTAAATCAGAATCCGTGCTAGAGACGCAACGATTCCTTTCTCTGGACGACTTAAGCGAACTAAGAATAGAGATGCTTGTCATGCTTCTGCGTCACAATGTATTATACAGTGCGGACTTTGCACCAAAGCACTGCATTGATCAAAATCTAAATTTTGCAAATTCGTCCTGCAGACGACTTAAATAAAGAACGGGGTATTGTAAGCAGTAGAGTAGCCTTGTGCTACGATCTGCTGAACTAAGCCCTTGTTCATTTGTTACTTTATAAATTGTTTAACATCCTTGTTTGCATGTTGGGAATGATAGTTGGCCTTTTTAATAACATAGGTAGGTCTTGTGTTGTTTACATACTAAATTCCTCAAAGTGTTGGGAAGGGAACTGTGTTATCTTCAAAAAGTATAAGGTGGCCATGATAGCACCTGTAGTGGTGTTATGTAGTTGTTACAAATCAACATGCCCTTTGGAACCAGGACACATGTTTGACCATGATAAAATCTTCAAAATAAATCACATTATTATGTGTATGACATGTGTAAACATACCTAACTTGGAACACCGGATGTACGGTTACACATTGTATGGACTGTATTGTACAGTCAGCAGAGTGCTCAAATCTAAAAAGACAAGCTTTTCCATAATGCAAAAATGGTAAACGCCATAATATGAGAGCCTGTATAGAAAGCAAGAGTGCACAAACTGCGCATGCACTGTGTGATGATATGTACATCGGCTTTGTATTGAACAATGATAGAACCTTCTCATAAGAATGATGTTTGAGTGCTATTGCTGCATTCTGAATGATTTATGCAACCAGCTAATATCCTTAGCTGATCAACTGACATTACATTTAAAACTCGTAATTTTAGTTTTTTGTGTTAGAGAAAATCTATATGTCATGGCTAACCACAAAGACACCTCTCTAAGAGGAGAAAATTGAGTTACGGTGACGATCAGAAGGCCTCTCTGAGAGGGGAAAAGTGAGTCACGGTGACCATCAGAAGGCCTCTCTGAGAGGAAGAAATGAGTCACGGAGACAATCAGAAGCCTAGAGAGGGGAAAGTGGAGTGGCAGTGACCATCAAAAGGGAGGAAAAATAAATTCTGAAGTGACCATCAAGGCCTCGAGGAGGAAAAGAAATGAATCACGGAACAAATCGAAACCTGAGGAGAAAAGAGTGGTGACGGTTATCAGAAGGCCAGGAAGTGGTGACTGGCCATCAGAAGGAGGGAGAATAGATCAGGACAAAGTAGAAAGGCAGGAGTGCGGTGAAGGTGACCATGATCAGGGAGAAGTCAGTGACCATCGAAATAAGTCATCGAGACAATCAAAATAAAGGAAAACAGTTATCGAAAAGAGAAAATTCGCCGATATCAGAAAAACCTCAAAAGTCAGAGACCATCGAAAGATCTCGAGAGAAAAGGTAACGGAAGTGATATCGAAACTTCAAAGTCAATGTTATCGAAACAAAGGGAAAAAATAAAATCCTAAGAGAGATCAAGACTCAAGGCAAATTATCGAGGAGAAATAGGTCACTGGTTTCATTATCAGGAAGGAGAAATGAGTCACAAGGAGGTCATCAGAGGGCCTGAGGAGGGGAAAAGTGGTGACGGTGACCATCAGAAGCGTCTCCTGAGGAAGAGGAAAAGTGGAGTCACAGTGATCATCAGAGGCCTCAAGGGGCGTCCACAGGGAACAGTAGAATCAAGGGAGAAGTGGTCACGAGGTGACCTCAGAAGGGCTCAGGGAGAAAATAGATCCACGAAGTGATACCATCAGAAACTCGAGAAAAAGTGAGTCAAGGTGCTCAGGCCTCGAGGCGTCAGGTATGCGGATCGTTGGGAACGGATCGGTTTTCAAACATCAGTCACATCAAGGAAGAGGTCTGAGGCATTCTCCCCTGAAAATTTTGAATTTCAGAACCTCTAAAATGCCATTTTCAGCGTTTTAGAGCAATACAAGATGTATTTTGTGGGCATCGTTTTCGGTAAAAACAACACATTTTACGTTTTTTCAAAAAAATGAAGTGAACAATACTTGAATGTTTTGCCATAATTAGGCTCATTATCATGCCAAATATATGGCTCATTAGCATGTCTAGGAACGTAAAATTTATTTTACAATAATGCTATTCAAAACAGATATAGTCTTTAAAAATTTCTACCAAGTTGTCAGGCATAGGCCCCCCTAGAGACCCCCATTCAAACCTCTATGTAATAAGTTAAGTTAGAAATTTGGTACTACAAGTGACAGTTCATAAATATAGAAAAGCTCAGACTTCAAACCATGCAAGTTTATTGTAACCCTTTACCCATCTCCACATCAGAGCCAGCAAATTCACTTTTTGAGAAAACTCAAAATTTTTTCTGTCAAAGATTAAGAAAATTATCAAAGTGAAAAATTGCAGTTGGACAGCAATGCCATGAATGTTTCTTAGGCATTTCACTATCTTCTGTAAGTATATGCAAGGTGTGCTATATAGCAATCACTAGTAGCATTGTATTTGCAAATACAGAATGTAACCAACATGTCTTTAATTATATAATTACATGAATGTTAAAATTGGTTCATGTGTCATGCTTACTGTTTATGATAAATATCTTTTCATATGATCAAAGCTCGTTTAAATGTAAATCTGAAATAATTTAGTTTAGAAATTATACTGATCATCAGAAAAATTACCTAGTGATCATGAAAAATACTTTGCTGTTTTGCCAAATTTCAAGGTTTATCTGCATACATTGAAGACATTTTTACTTTATAGAAAATGCTATTCATACATCAATAGCCCTTTGAATTTATGGCAAACAATCTGGTATGAGCCGTAGATTAACACACCTTTACATCTCTACATGAGGTGTTCAGTTAGAAAAGGGACAATATGTGACATGGGACAACATTTCATGTATGTGAAATACTCAGGTTTAATACCATTCCAGTCAAATTGTCAAAATAAAAGCTTCATGGATCATAAGACTCAAAATCACAGGTTATAGTAAACAGCTTCTCATGTAATCAATGTTAGTTTTCTCAAATCTTAAACAATATGTAGTATAACTGTCCAATGATTGAATGATCAATGATCATAAACTGAAAACCCCAACATTTGTTTATGATAAAATAAAATAATCGTATGGCACCTTATGGCTACAGATTTTTTGTCCATTGAAATATACTTACAGAAATGTAGGATTTCGCTGCCATATAACGGCCACGATTCCCCAAGCATTACAGAAATCATAGCTAAAATTCCTTCGGCAACAACAATTTTAGAAGCATCAATCTGCTTACCATACGCCATATTAACATAAATCGCATCACACACTCGCATAAATTGACTTTGATATATTGCATTCATGCATACACTTCACTTGTCCTTTACTTACGATTTTCGATGTAAATTTCTGCTGATAAAACTCAAAACAATGTTGGCTTGCTTTTGAACATCAATGACTGAAATGTCGCTCGCGAGATCGTCTTTGCCAAGCATTTACAATTTATCCATAAATTTTTCACCCTCTTGAAAAATTCCCAGTTTGGAAGCAGCATTCATGTCAACATATGAATTTGTAAAGATTTCCATAAATTCCATCTGATTGTAGTTTAGTTTCTATCATGCTTCAGAAAATTACTATGAACGATCAAACATTCAATTCAGACAGTGAGCTTGACTATGTTAGTTCAGTTGGCTATCAGTCGAAATCGGTCAAACCAATCACAGTAAGACAAAATTCAAATGAACCAATTGTAGATAGTTGGACTCCTTATAGGTCCGGCCACTATTATCGGTCGAGATTATTCCAGACTGTCCACTGATCTGGCCATTGACCAATAAAATAGCGTTTCTGGCGTTCATAGACTCCTTATAAATCGAACCAGTCACCACCCGCTTATCAGTCGGTTATTCCGGTCAATTAAAATTCAACTGATCTGGTTACCAGGAATATTCGTTGCATTAGTCATTAGGTTTTCAATAATAAATAAAGCTGGATTTTTATCACGAAGTAAATGCGATAATAAAGAATATTAGTGATTTTTTAATTAATATGAATAGGTAATTTTTGAATTTCAAACATCAGTCGCGCGACGGATTTGACATACTCTAGATCCGCCCCTGCCATCAGAAGACCTCTCTGAGAGGGAGAAATGAGTCACGGAGACCATCAGAAGGCCCCTCTGAGAGGGGAAAAGTGAGTGACGGTGACCATCAGAAGGCCTCTCTGAGAGGGGAAAAATGAGTCACAGTGACCATCAGAAGGCCTCTCTGAGAGGAAGAAATGAGTCATGGAGACAATCAGAAGGCGTCTAAGTATAAGCACTTGTACTGTGAAACTGCAAATGGCTCATTAAATCAGTTATCATTTATTTGATTGTACCACTAGCATATAACCGTAGTAATTCTAGAGCTAATACATGCGAAAAGTCCGACTTTTGCGGAAGGGATGTATTTATTAGATTAAAACCAATGCGGCTTCACGGCCGCAAAACCCATTATTGATTCATGGTAACTATTCGAATCGCATGGCCTATTAACTTTATGCCGGCGATGTTTCATTCAAATTTCTGCCCTATCAACTGTCGATGGTAGGTAGTGGCTTATCATGGTTGCAACGGTGACGGAAATTGGGGTTCGATTCCGGAGGGAACCTGAGAAACGGCTACCACATCAAAGGAAGGCAGCAGGCGCGCAAATTACCCAACCCTAACGTGGGGAGGTAGTGACAAAATAACAATACAGGGCTTTTGTTAGTGCGTAGTTGGAATGAGTACAATTTAAATCTCTTAACGAGGACCAATTGGAGGGCAAGTCTGGTGCCAGCAGCAGCGGTAATTCCAGCTCCAATAGCGTATTGTAAAGTTGTTGCAGTTAAAAAGCTCGTAGTTGGGCCGCACGCGCGCTACACTGACGATGGCAACGAGTTGTTCCTTCACCGAAAGGTGTGGGTAATCTTTTGAATCATCGTCGTTCTGGGGATAGATCATTGTAATTCTTGATCTTGAACCAGGAATTCCTAGTAAACGCGAGCTGATGACTCGCGCTCACTAGTAAGCCGAATGATTAGAGGTCTTAGGGTCGAAATGACCTTAACCTATTCTCAAACTTTAAATTGGTAAGAATTCCAACTTGCTTAACTGAAGTTGGACATTCGAATGCGAGCTCTTAGTGGGCCATTTTTGGTAAGCAGAACTGGCGACGCGGGATGAACCGAACGCCGACTTAAGGTGCCAAAGTCGACGCTCATCAGATCCCACAAAAGGTGTTAGTTGATACGGACAGCAGGACGGTGGCCATGGAAGTCGGAATCTGCTAAGGAGTGTGTAACAACTCACCTGCCGAATCAACTAGCCCTTAAAATGGATGGCGCTCAAGCGTCGCACCTATACTCGGCCGTCAAAGCAAGTGCGATGTTTGACGAGTAGGAGGGCGCAGTGGTCATGACGCAGCCTTTGGCGCAAGCCAGGTGAAACGGCGAAACTGTATCCCAAACCAGTCTAATTGTATCCACCCTCAGTGTTTTCTAGACCAACGCCGACGTAGACGTGCGCAATACAGTGCTATACAACATCTGTATGCCCGAAAACTATCTGCGGCAGCGCACAAGGTGTTGGATGGTTCATGGAGAAATCTTGAACCATTATCCACGCCTTCTGTCGATGAGTTCCGAAGAGCCTGGCAGCCTATCTTTGAGACACCATCTATCAAAGATACACGACATGCCGATTGCATTGGAGTGTGCAATAATGGTCACTTGTTGTTCCGGTGACACCTGATGAGATCTTGAAGGTGTTATCGGCGGGTGCTGATTCAGCACCTGGCCCCGATGGGATAAGGATGAGGGATATCGTTGGACTTGGAGCAGATGTCCTGTGCAATACGTGCAAAATCATATGTGATTCATTGACTTTATTTTAATAAAACACTATCAAATTAATAACATACTAGCACAACTGAAATACACACATCATGTTAGCTATTTTCACTCTTTCCAATATATCATGCATTAACTTTATAACTTGTTAATATAGAAAACGCTTTATGAGAACATTTTGCACAATGTACAATGGCATATGTCAAATATCTGAGAGAAAAGTAGCAAATATTACTAATTTCTGTTGCACGACAAAAATGGAAAATTTATCTCATATCATATTGAAACATAATTTTATCACAGCCAATACAATTTCTTATAATGCATTATATATTACCACATGTGGTTCAGATAGTGACACGTAAACACAAACAACAGGAAACTGTTTAAAATTATTCCTTTTGCACTCGTTAATTTTAAGTTTTTAACTTGAAACATTAATGTTTTTTATTTCCTTTCTTACTTTCCAGCATCTTCAACCGATTTGTGTTTCCTTTTTTTGTTTTTTTTTGCTACTTCAACATGAGCAACGTCGACAGCAATAGAACAATCTTTGCTCGAACTAGCACCTTCATTAATCAATTCTTCATTAACAACCATGCTATGTGTCCGCTTCCTGTTACCACTTTTCTCTATAGCTAATGATTCATCTCTTTCCCTCGCTTCTATTTCCTTTTCTGTTACTTTCAGACCCTTCCTGCCCAAGGATCGATAAGCTCGTCGACAGCAGCCCTATTTCTTCGACCATGTTGCGCCGTCTGTGGACCCGCGGGAACTGCCATAGCAGTGAGCATTTTCTGCATAGTTGCCAATGTCTTGGTATTCTTGAATTCAACAGCCGAAGGATGATCGTTCATTAATTTATTTGCATATATTTGTGTATTATTTACACAAAATTGCATGGCCCTCATCTAACACAGCATGATGTATGTAGCCGAAGCTTGTTGCATCCACACATTAATGATGTTGTCTAATTCTGTTTCGCAACCCCATTTCATCACTTCAAATATATCCTGACTAGACGCATTGCATGTCTTGTCCTTTTTGTTTATATTATTCATAAGAGACTGATGAATCTGTCCAATATTTTTTCCAGTTCTATTTCTATTTCTTCGGATGGAAAATTCGAGCCTTTTACTATTTCCCAGTTTTCAATGATTGCCTGGGAGGCTTCAATTATTGCAAAATCCGGCCGACACATCCACTCACAATTTCTTGAGCTCAACTTTTTTAGAAATTCGTTGTTGTTTACCATCAACTGGGCATCGTAGGGGCGTAAAAAATAATGAGGGAAGTGTTTGAAATATGTCACTTTTCCAGGTGACACTTTTGGATTGAAAGACATCTAAATGAAAAAAGCTTATTATAGGCTAAAAAAAGTTGTTCAATTATGTCTAAATTTCTTTGATGAATGAACCTCATGGGTTTTATAACCTGCTCTACGTCAGTTAACAATCTTTCAACAACACTATGCAGCTATAAAATTATAAACAGCAACACCTCTAATTACACTATTAAAATCAATATATGTTCTTCCAACAAAAAACTGTCAGTAAAATATAAACGTCTTTATAAGATATAAATTTCAAATGACATCCAAATGCTTTACAACCAATGTAAATTAAAACGAGAAATCTGCTCACTCCTACTATAGTTAGTCACGTGAGATCACATTTGGGGTCAAAGTTGCATGATTTTTTAAGAGTTTTAAATACACTTTCAACTTTTTGAAATTCAGTTTAATGTTAATACATATCTCAACAACTAAATTAATATAATCACATTTGAACTTATTTTAATTGCAACAAATATAAGAATGCTTCTTCAATTTTTGACTTTCCTCATAACATATGTATGAAACAAGTTTTCAATTAAATGATAACTAAATGCATGTTCAACTGTACAATTAAATCTCTTCCCCTGCTTATTGTTATTCTAAATTTAAAAGAATATGTTAAATATTTCATACATGTATTTTTAGCAAAAGCTTATTTTTATTGCAAGCTTAATATAAAAATTGTCTATAGATAAACAACATGTTATTATGTCGTATTTAAAAAAATTTTTTGCCCATTATCACAAATGTTTCAAACATTAAATGTCTAGTTAAATTAGGTGATTAGACTTATTACCTCATTTCCCAGCCTGCATTGTATAATGTGTCTTTAAAGGCAAATTCATTTCTCACTTTTTGTAAAGATCACGTATTGCAAATATTAGAAAATTTCTGCAAATTTACATTATTAAGTACTTTACAAATGCTTTTCCACGTTGAATTGGATAAATATTTCATTACAAACTTTATCGTAACAACGAGCTTAACACAAATGTCATCATATTTATATATATAACTTATATGTCATCAATCTTTATAACTGCTTTATTATACAGGCACATAAGTACCTTTTCTTTCTAAGAATGTTTTCGAAAATTTTCAAAGTTCAATTTAATACTTTTGTCACTTTCGCTTTTTTAAATTTCATCAAACAATTTTCGAAATTTTAAACTCATCAATGAAGCCATTGTGAATCAGTAGTAAAGATTTTTGAATTGTTTTTCTATAAGGAATAATAACATTATTCATATGGAAAAAAACATACCTTGAGAAAAATTGTTGTTCAAAGAAATTTGTAAATTCTTTGTAGGATCTAAATTAAATGAAATTAAATTATATTTTTACACAAATATTCCAAGTCTTCTCAGAATAAGAAAGAACACTTTTTAACAATTTTATACACCTCAAGTCAAACACCGGTAAAATTTACAATTGTTATGCTACGCAATATCCAACACGGAAAGAAGAAAATGATTTTTACTAATATAAAAATTCACAAATATATATAATCAAACTTAAGTGTATACTACATTGTTCTGCTTGTTTACTTGTACTTCTCACTTTTGAAATACATTTGATTGCTAGTATTAGAATAAAAATCACAATAATCCCATTATATAGCAAAACCTTACAAGTAATTTCTCTAACTCTTACAAGGTTGAACTTGATGAAACATATTAATAATAGCACAAAGGATAAGATTTAACCATAATAGTTGCATTAAGAAAAAAGTATTTCAATTTTTTTATTTTTTAAATATTTGGAAAATGATTAAATTGCAACATTAATACATGTCAACACATCTTTATCTTTATTAGTAAGCCAATATTTTAAATCATTTACTATTTTTAGTCACACTTTATAATGTAGTCTTTTTCCAAACAATAGCATTAAAATTTTACAGGATAAAAATGATCATGACATATTGGAGTTAAAAATTTTATGTTGTCTAAAGATTTCACACGAGACAAAGCCACATATGCTGCTCCTTCACCAAGCATTTTTGTGTCAAACCACAAAACAACATTTTGAAGTGTTTGACCTTGCGATTTGCATATCATTATGGCATAACCTAGCACAAAAGGATAACATGTCTTAATATGCGACTCCAATTTTCCATCCTCATCCTCTTCATGGATCAACGTTGAAACTGGAAAAACCGTAACTACCTTTTCAGTTGGAAGTCTCACAACTACAGTTTTTTCTTTCATCATCGAGATAATGCCAGGTTGTCCATTCACAATACCTTTCTGTTTGTCTCGGTTTTGTGTGATAATTATCCGCATCCCTTTAAATATATCACAAGGCAGCTCATCATTGTCCATTTGCACAGTAGCAATGTAATCGCTTTGCAAAAACACGTTTTTACAATCAGCTGATTTATATGAGAAACACTATTCCTTGTAACAGTAACAAAAGTGTTTGAAATATTTTCTCGAATTACAGACAAATGTTTGGCATCAGTTATGGATTGACAATGATGAAGAACACGATTTTCCTGCAATTTCTCTAAGATTTTTCCGTAACATTCAATAACGAATATGGTCTAATATCTCTTCAAAGTCCTTATCATGACGCGATGTTGCCTTGTGAGTTGAATGACCAGTTATAGCATTGAAGTTTTCAAATTGATAAATACTTTTTCCCGATGTTGTACGATTGTTCATTGTTCTTATTGGGGGTAATTGATATTTATCACCACAAATCAACAAAAAAGGACTCATGGGAATTTGTCTTAAAGTTGAGAGTATGTGCTGAAAATGCTCCACTGTCACCATGGATACCTCATCAATTAAAATAAGGTCATACATACTCAAATTCCAATTTATTTGTGGAGATGAACCATCGATTGGAATAAGAAAAGATGAGTGAATCGTATTAGCATCGATTTCCTCATCAAATAATGCACGATAGGAAGATGCTAACATACCAGTAGGTGTAGCAACAAGTGTTGTAAACTGATTATCAATTGCAAACTTAACACACGCATGAAGAGTCTTTGTCTTTCCTGTGCCAGGTTTGCCAGTAACAGAAATAACTTTTCGCCAATCCTGTGTACTTTCATATCTTTCATTCTCCTCATTGTCATCATGGCATAATATTTACTTCTGTATCTTAGAAATAACTTTACCATGTTTACCACATTCACTTGCATGTTGTCCAGATCTTCATTTATTGCACAATTCATGCACGATAAAAAGTCTTCATTTCTTAGCACTTTCATTCTCCACAGATTATACACATCCATCGGGTTTGCAAAATAGTTTAAAACATTGTCAACAAAATACTCTTTATGCCCTTCCTTTTGCAACATCTCTTTCAGGGCAAATTCTTCCATCAAATGTGGTATATGAACAATACATGCTGCAAAATATTGTAATGCTTCTGGCAAAATTTCATGATTCGGATGTCTTAGATCTTCCAGTTTCCGATGTGCTTTATTCATAAGAATAAATTGAAAGAAAAAATATTGAAAATATGACACATATTTAATGCCGACCAAACACTTCTGCCTTTTGTAAAAAGGTGCATTGTTTTTAGGCGTGTCATGCATACGAAGAAATTCGAGGAAAGTAACATCTTCTTCTTCATTTCGTGAGTAATATTTAAGAAGAGTTGAATTGTTTTCAGCATTTGTTGGTCTTGGAGGGACATAGGTCTTAGCGCTTATACTACACCATGCTGCTTTTATTGAAGACAAAGTCATGATCATTTCTGGCTCACAGGGCTTCATGTCTCAAATGCCGATATGCTGCCTCTGCTGGAACAAGAGTTGTGAAAATAGAGATGCACTTGATCGGGAATCCTTAAACTTTGAGACGTAGTTCGTTACATAACGCATCAACATACCACAGTGATCAGAAAATTGCACATCCATACGACATTTCAAAAATGGTAAAATTGTCGAAATATAAGCTCTAAGTTTCAAAATGAACGACGTTTCTCAATAATATAATGAAAGTTTTACATTATCATTAACAGCCTCTAAACACGTAGTTTGTTTATTAACTTCTAGCACTGTCTCATTAGACTGTTGCAAATCATACACTAAGAAAGCAAGGTTAACATCATCATTTGGAATGTTGGCCTGAATAACATCATAAGAACATTTTGAATTGTCCTCAAGCCAAATTAGCAAATGAATATGTGCTGTTTCGCGACCTTGAAATTCCACCCGATAAAAAAAGTTTTTCACGTTTTTTTTATTGTCATGCTCATAGTTAAAGGCATGGTTTCGCCATCTATTCGAATTTGTACCACAGAGGTATCTTCGAACACTTTGCTCTAATATATGCCCTATGTTCAATGTCTTTAAAGGTGATAGCTCTGTTGGCATTTTCCACTTATGTCAAATGCATTCTGGAGCCATAAAGGACTTGGAAATGTCCACTCGTAAGGACTTATTGTAATGAAAAGATCGGGATATCCAAATTGACGAACTGCATCTATTATGAATCGATAATGCGATCGGCAGTATTCATTACTAAAATGTTTTGTTGCTAGGGCAGTTGCAGTGCTTGTTTGAAATTTTCGAGCAGAAGAAATAGCCCCAGTTATTGTTGTAAATAACCATCTATCATATACAAACTGCAACAGCTCAAAATGCAATGAGTAATCAAGAACGTCACTTAGAACCTTCAAAGTGAAAGAAGCCTTAGCACTTTTACGATTGTTATTCTGTGAAAGTTTTGTTTCACACCATTCATAATATGGATATAGATGTGGCCATATCGCACACTCAATTCCGCTGTTTTCTTTATTATTATAAACATTTAATTGTTTACCAGACACAATATATTCCTCACGTAGTTGAATAAAATGAGAATATTTACTTGTCGCTGACCTTGTCAAGTAACGGTATGCTAGCATACATTTAACATAGTTACCTTCATCTGAATTTGCTATTTTTTCAAGAACAGACTTCTCTGACCAAGAAACATGAAAAATGCCATCTTTTTGGCTATAGCCGTGCTTTTGAACAGTGTAATTGCCTGTATGAACAGTAAAAGGACGAAGCGCAAGTATTTCTTTTCGACTAAGTTTGTGTAAACACATAGGAATTTTTAGCATTTGCGGAATATGATATCGATTACTTTGGCGAATACATTTCTTAACCGTTTTTAATTTAGCTGTATTATAATTTGGCAAAAGCTTTTCACGATGCAACAAGTTACATTTGGCACAAAGGACCAAGACTTATTTGTTGCCCATTTCCGCAATGAATAACCTTCATTTGCAGTTAATTCTTGACTTCTCGATATTGTTAAACCTATTTCGCTCTTTCAAACAAACGTCTTGTCCTCTACTCTGTGTTGCCTCATCGACATTTGCGCTTCTTTCCTTTCTCTACACTGCTCAATGGGAAAGATCCAATAACATGAATTTGCCTTATAGACCAAAACTCCTCATAAGAATTCACTTCCATTTTAACAAACACAATTAATAATTTACATCAAATTGATAATAACTATATAAGAACAATACTTTTAAATGTATTCCCCAATAATACTATCTTGATATCAACCTTTTATTATTTATAAAGAAATTAAACTCCACGGTACAAACCAATCAACCTTGCTCAATTATGCTTAAAAACACGTACTTGCATACAAAGCCTTTCATTTTATTAAAAATATATGTTATACTGACATTTAAAGTACTTTTTTGCTTAGTAATACAGAATAATCAGTATAAACTAGTGAATCTTTCTCAATAATGTCACACAAACTAACATTTTGAAAAAGTGATCACCGTATTGTTTTGATTTTCCACTTCATGCTTCCACTTTTCAAATTTCCATTTTCATGAAATTACGATATATATTTTTAAACATTTCTTTTGGAATTTAATCTTAATTTAACATCTGAAGAAAATGAAAAGCTTTTTTTGTCCACAAATATCCTTTTTCTTAAACTCTTTGACAATGGACTTTATTTTTAATAAGTTATACAATTTCAGAATTGATTGTTTCAACCTAAATAAGTCCTGAAATACTCAAACTTTTGTAAAACAATTCACTTCATTATATATCCTGCAGTAAATGCCTTCTATTGATAAAAATTTTATTACTTGGACATGTTTTAGAACAACTGTAAATGCTGTTTTTCTGCCTTCAACAACATGCATAAATTAAAACGCAATGAAACGCTTACATATTTTGCTCAGAATTTTAGAGTTTTCATATGTAGATATTGCAAAACGAACAAGACCAATGTAAAATACACGTAATTTTCTACATATAGATGAAAGCTCAGCCTTTAACATTTAGTGTGATTTTAGGTTTGTGTAATATTTCCTTCTGGAATGATTTTTAATACACAACATCTGTTTCCATGGCGATACGTTAATAGCATCTAAAAAAAACTTTCGCTCAAACAGTCTTTCATTTTTAATAAGATAATGAAAATACGTTTTTTATGAAAACAAACGATGTTGAGTCAATTCCCCATGGTTTAGTTGCAATAAAATGTATAGGAATGGCAAATGACATTTAAAGCATGCCGATCGGCTTCCTGATCATTGCCAATCATATGTCGCTATCACTATGGCACTAATTGTTCCAGTGTAAGGTGAAACAAACATCACATGAGAACGTTCATAGGCTAAAAAAATCGCTCAAAAATGTCGATTCCTATCCCGATGATTGATAATTTTAATTGAAATATGTCAAAAAATTGTAAATTGTATGAACGCGTTTTTATAAATTAAACAAACATGTATCAAAAACGAATGCCTACAATATTTTAATGATCGTTAATAAAGCTTTAATTCGTTGTTGCGTTTATTCTCATACGTTGTGAATATTTAAAGCTATAATACAATAAGTTGTCAACGATCAAAAATTACTAGGGACTCTTGCAAAAAATGTACACATTCTTATATTGTTATTTCATATTGAAGATATACGATCTTTTCTACTATTATTAAAAACATTACAAAAACTGTCAATAAGTAATAATAGTAATTATAAAAAGCAATAAGCAAATTTAAAAGTACATACCTTGAAACGAAATTTGATCACAACTGTCTTCTAATGTCCAATACAGTTTAATTAAAGCGAAATCGCTCATGTACCACTTAGGCACTAGTAGGTTATAGCTAGAAATTCATATTTAGTTAACAAAAGTCTATTACATAGATTTAGAATTAACAGATCCAAAACATTACAGAAATACTGAAATGTTTCTTAAAATCTCTTTAAAATCAAGGAATGAAACGTTCTAAAACGCTCTAACAAAGCTTTCCAATCTGTAAATTTTCATAAAAGTAAACATAACTTCATACGAAATGAGATTTCACAAAGGAAATTTCCTTGAAAATGTTATGCAAACGTTAAGTGAAAATTTTAAAATTTGCATTTTGTCGAAAATTTCGACTAAATTTGCGTGTTAGGGCTTTAATAATGCTTTCCGCCCGTTTACCCCCCATCTAATATTTAACGCTCTTTCCAAATCTGAAATCCAATTTCAAATCGGACTTGTCTCTTAAAAGTTAACGAAAATATTGTATTGTGACGTCATAGCTAATAACTTCCGGTTTAACAACGCTACACACTTGAAATTTTTTGAAATTGTTTAGAAACATCAGCGCAATGTTCAGTTCAAATGTGAGTGAAATCGCGCATCACACGCAAAAGTTATGAAAAATAAAAAGAAATGTTTCAGAAAAGTTATAATAATATATATAAGGATAATAATCGAGGATGGTGAATTCATTAAAGTCTATATAAATGCCTGCACCGCACTACGGTGCAGGCTTATATGAAGAATTTATCTATTGGTCTTTTTAATAACGCACGCCTTTTATAATAATCAAATCTTTCCAATCCCAAACCTTCCCACACTGCTTCACTTCCAACAACATCCATGGTTTTGTTTTACTTTGGTTCCATTTTCCGTTGGTTTCTGGAACCGTAATGATTAATAGGGACAGTTGGGGCATTCATATTTCGTTGTCAGAGGTGAAAT